TGCTTTAATTTTATATCTTGTTGGAAAGATATTACACGTGCTTGTCCACATATTTGTAGAGCTTTTGGCTATTTGAGGCATATGGTGAGTACCTAGGAACCCCGGGATGATGAAAGATTTATGTATAGATGAAAAGAATGGAAGAAACGAGAGAAAAATAGAGTGTAGATTTGTGACACGGGCAGTGACACGGGCACCATGCCCATGTCAGAGGCCGTGTCACCTCAACAGAGACATTTCGAGGCCCAGATACCTGACACGGGCAACGACACAGGCAGAGTGGCCGTGTCGCGTGCGCAGGCAGATTTTTATATCTTCTCTATTTTACAAAGGAGAGGGGTTTTGGACATTATAAAAGGCATATTTACCCTATTTTTGAGGGGATAACAGAAGGGAGAAGGGCTTGGAACACAGAAGAGAGGCAATTGGGAAGAAGAGAAGATCAACCACAAGATTTCTAGTTTTTCTTTATCTCTTTTGAACTTATTTTTCTCATGATGGTTTCTAATATGTCTATGTATTTGAATTCAAACATGAGTAGCTAGATTTCTTTGATTCTATGACATGGTAATAGATTAATATTTTGGGATTTTTGGATGATTTATCATAGTTGATTGTTTTCTTTTGAACCCTATTCAAATATTTAGTTCTTATTTCATGAATTGCAATTGTCCATTGCTTTTACATGTTTGATGATATTGTTCATAATTCGAGATATGAGTTCAATATTAGATCTTTAATATTTGACCCAATTTATTTGTTTGAATCGAGAGATTAGTAGATAGTTGTGAGGATTTTGGGTCTTTTAATCTTTTTGGAGTTGAATTGCATGTGTTGAGTGGAGACGCTAATATATGTGATTTAATCTACGGTTTTATCGATCTCGAGAGGGACGATAAGCTAAATTTGTGATCATCTTACAGGGTAGATAAAGAAAACATTTAGTTGTGATATTTTTGAAGGAACTCAACTGTTAATTGAACCCAACGTCTTAGAATCTATCGTTCCCCTATATTCTCTCACGTGTTGATCTAGCTAGTTCTTTATTTTTGCTTTATTTCCTTTCATTTATTTTCTTAGTTTAGTTAATCAATCTCAATTATGATCGTCTAAATAAAGTTGACATTATCATAATCTAATACTTGATATGTTAATTATTTGGTCTTTTGGGATACGACCTTGCTTGCCACATACTACGAGCGAAGTCGTACACTTGCGGTCAAGCTTTAAAAATATAGGCGAACAAGTTTTTGGCGCCGTTGCCGGGGACCAATATAATTATTTATATCAATATTATGATAGATAGTGTTGGTTTTAATTTAGACATTTTTTGTATATCTAGCTAACATTTTTTTTTTCTTTTTATTTTTTTATGATGGACGAGGATGAGATAGACTATGACTGGCGCAATGATTCCAAATACTCGGAAGAAGATAAAAAGTGGTATGAGAAGTGTTTGTTCTATCATTTGGAAGAACTTAAAAAGGTCGAGTTGGAGTCGAAGCGTCGTAGGAGAGAACTCGAGGAAAGTGACATTGGGTGTGATGAATGTGGTTTGATGTTGCCACATACACCAGGGAATTGTCCTTTCTCTAGTTTACCTCCTATATCGCAAGAAGAGCTCGATTACATTCCTCCATGCTTTTTGTCGTTAGATAGTGCGCCAGAAATTTCTATCGTTGCCGAA